CGTACATCGGATAGAGTATTCTTGGCGGGACAGAACTTCTGTGAGGCACCTCCGTACAACATGAAGAGTAATCATACAACAGCTGCATCTTCACCAAGACAGACAACAAGAGGAGCGGACAAAAGAAGCTAGCTTAGCCTATGCGGCATACTTCTATACCACTTCTCTTATTGTTCCACCGGCAGATGAATCCAACCCCAAGAGTTCAGAGACATGCACTCGACCCAGAGCCACTAACCAATTACCAACCAGCATACCGCACCACCACCATCACACAAGAGCCATCCAGATCCAGACTCACCCTGCACCCCGCAGCCAAGAAAACCGCGCACACGCATATGCACACATGCTCACATACGCCCTTCTCCGCCCTTCCACAAGGGATCCATCGTCGCACACCCGTCGCGCGTATATCACCACCATACTAAGCACAAGGATATATACAAGATCGCGGCAAAAAAAAACAAGCAAAAACGAAAGTGGAGAGAGAGAAAAAAGAATAAAAGGACTCCAAAACAGTAGCTGCAAGTACGTACGTATACAGCGGTTTAGAAAAGTGGAGAAGATGGGAGGGAGGAGGGGGGGAAGTTTCACATTTGACTACTAGTGGACACCTAGAACACAACGTACTTACTACCAGGGCATGACGGCTTAGCGCCAAAGCGATCGATCGAAGATGCTGGAAGCAAAAGACAGAAAAGGAACTTTTGCCCCGAGCCAAAGCACATACGCGGAATCGCGGAATCGGGAGGGTGGAGGCGTGTCTGTGTTTCATATTCTTCTGGTGCTCTTGTAGCGCGTATTGGGGGGGGGGGGAGCTGGATTTTCCTTGCTCGCAAATCGTGCTTCGGGCGTGTCAAAACTCTGCAGTCATGCCATTTTGCGTGACGCCTGTCTTAAATGCTGTGTTAAGTTGTTTCGGGTAAAAAGGGGAAAAGGTGAAAATCTGATGCAAACATGCAAATGGTGTGGTTTATTTTACGCTTATGCTTTACAAAAAAACTTAACTAGTATAGACAAGAATGGCCGTTTCTCTCTTTCCGCCAAAAAAATGTTCGTTATTTACAATAGTCCTTGTCTTGTAAAGAAAAATTGGTGAAGACAAAGACTGGGGGAGTTTCTCCACGGAGGATTAAGCGATTGGGATAGTTCCACGCTACGGTGACTTTATCCGGCTTGCCCTTCATCAACTCGCGACGCAGGTTATGCAGTAGTTTGTTTTCTTCCCTGCACTGCATGGAGGTGCTCTAGTACTCGAGGTCCTTGGCGTGCCTCTTGGTCAGAGCCTTGACGGCAGGGCCGGGGACAGGGTAGCTGGAGAAGGAGGTGAAGACGTTGAACTTGATACCAGGGTCGTTGGCCTATTAACTTGTGTTAGCAGTGCTCTGGTATGTCAATCGGGTGAAGGGCATATTGATCTTACAGTGTAGAAGCTGGTAGCGGGAGTGCCACCGCTGAGCTTTGCGGTTCCAGAGCCCTCAACCTTGAAGTTGACGCACTGGGGGTATGCTTGGGCACCGTTGGTCTGGCCGGCGGCGTGCAGCGCGATGATCTCGTGGCGAACGACGTAGTTGCCGGGAGCAACGTTAGGGAAGGTAATGTCCCAGGAGAAGTTGTTGGCGATCAGGTCATCGGTAGCCCACTTGCCGGGGTTGCTGCCCGACTTCCATGCCTTGGATGAAATCTTGGTCCACTGAAGGCTGGAAGGGTTGACGGAACCGCAGTCGCCGTTGCAAGGAGCAATGTACTCTTGGACGGGACCGACGTGGCTGACGGGCCAGGTATCCCACTTGAAAGTGACCTTGCTGCCTGGCTTGACGGTTACATAGGCACCGTTGCTCTTGCCCTGCTTGTGGCAGACAATGGCAGAGGTAGCAAAGGCATCGGGAGAGACGAAGCCGTTGTCGAGGTTGTCGGCCTGCCAGCCAACAGTGGCAGGAATGGGGTTCTGGTACTTGAGAGCAGCGTTCCAGCCCTGGTATTCCTTGCCATCGGCGATGACTTTGTCAACGTGACCGTGGGCTGCCACAAGGGGCGCAAGAAGAACGAGGAGGGAGAGCATGATGGTGGTGTTTGAGAAGGTGGAGTGAAAACGATCGTTTCAAACAATGTAGAGAAGAGAGTGGAAGTAAAGAGGCTGTTGCTGAGAAGTTCCTGTTGAGCAAGACCTTGAGGCTGGATTCCTTCTTCTTCATATACTCGTCGCCATTCTTCTAGCGTCATTCTTTCAACGCCTCCGCCTACCTTGGACCAGGTTTTCCGTACGCCTTGCAATCAAAAGATTCATTTCGAAGCACCTGTCTCCCCGGCTTCTGAATTGTGGACCATCCGATTGTGGAAAGGTCACCCCCTGTCGCCACACTCTTAGAACGTGACTGAACGTTGAGGTTCCAGTCCTGTGACTGGGTTCTGTCGATGTGATAGGCCAGGTGTGTAAAAATGGGGCCAGGATTAATATCGCTGGTGCAATATTCTCCTACACGTTGGTGTTAGGCAATATATTCTCGGCTAGGGGCGTGGCGCCTACTCGCAAGGTCACCAGCCATTTGCCAGCCTCATTGAGTCTATTGTGGAACATGCCATTCCCATAAGTTCAAACAGTGGAATCTCTTTCGGGCCATTAACGGAAGGATCATGGCCGCATGAATTTACAATCGGTCTCGGTAGACTCACGGCCAAGCCGGTAGCCAACGGTCGCGCTAATGGTCAACAATCGCAACACATCGCTTTCAGTACAATTACAGACAGCCATCTCTAATGTCAACAGCCGATGCACGGCAGTCAGCTGTTGCACTACCGTTACCCGACATGCACTAACTTTCTAATCCACGAGCTTGGAAGGTATTACTCGCAGCATTAGCATGATGATCTTGAATGGCTTTCGTGCTAGCACGTTATGTCCGATAGGGTGTGGATCCTTGTGGAGGTTAATTTGAATAGATTAGAGGCGCGGACCGCTCAACCGAACTTCAACCACATTCGTACAACACCAAGGTGCCATGAGTCTGAGCCTGCAGATGGTCGAAACAACCAAGGCAAACAAATTGGGGAGGATATCAAATAGGAAATCTTGACGTCAGGCACCTTCTGCCCGAAATGGCACACTGCGTTCGACGAATTTCTGGTAGCGTCGGACTCGAAGAAGGTTATCATGAACTCTAGGTTCATGATTCAAAACACTGACATTTGATTGCAGCATTATCTAGAAAGTAAGTTCTCGTATGATTTGGTGTGTCTGAGGGTAGTTGTGGTAGATGCATGTGTCCGGCGTTGGGTAGTTATGTTGCCTGGGAATTTCGCAGCTTAAGAACATCGCAGGTTGCATGCCGCCAACGCTTTCAAAGGCTTTTTGAGAAGTTTTGAGAAGCTTTCAGCGTTGTCCTCTGCTCCACTGGGTAAGCCTTGTGCGCTGATTGGGTGGCTGCCTTGTAACACGAAATGCTACAGATTAAGTTCAGGAGCCCGGAACGCGCCGTAGTAAGGTCGTCTTTTCAAACGTTGGTATCCACATTTGGCTCTCTTGGTATAGGCAAGGATCACGAATATGGAAAACCGAAATATGATTACGTGGTTGTTGGCCAAGTATTTACTACAAAGGTGTCGCTGATTTGGATGGGTGATTAGGGCGATTGAGCTCCCAATTGTCCCTATGTTCAGTACACAGTCTTTGGATCCACACAACGAGTAGCTTCCGCACGTGCTCTGTATCAGCCCTGAAACGACGGACCTACTGCGTACATACATGTGCATGTATGAACGGACATATTCTCGTTCGGCGCCAAGGGTATCATGTACTGAGTGGGCGAATAACAGTCTTGCATAGGCAAAGTCAAGGTTGAAGAAGTTTGGTCTCAGCAGCTGCACCATGTGCTGGAATTGGCGCTGCGATAAGAGAAGGGTTGTGCAGGGCCATGGATCCAGTGTGCCCAACAGCTAGTACCTGCACAAAAGCATCGCGCTTCTCGGTACCGCAAAGACACGTTGTGAGGGTCATATGATATCGCGTCATGTCGCAACGCCTAGGACGCGGCTACTACTAGATACTTGGACGTTGATGGAAAGCACAACGACGGGACAGGCAGAGAATAAGCTGCATGTGAACGCGCTAGGACCGCGCGGGTGAGTGCTGACCGATACCCGCGATCGACGAACGACGCGCATCGGGTGTGTCACGGGCAATTGGTTGCGTCATTTGCTGTCGCATCGTCATTTTGGAGGCCGGGGAGTGGAGTGATGGCTGGTATGCGCGGTCAAGAATGGGGTTCGAGAATGTTTATGCTGGTGGTGGCCAGCAGCTATTTTTGAAGCTCGGAAAGTGTGGAAAACATGGTGGGGATGACGCGTCATGCCAGGGCGGACCCAAGAAAGCCACTGAGGCGGACGAACAACAAAACCACCGGCGAGCCCAATCAGCAGCAATGGGAGCAGGCGGACCTTGGGAAAAGAAAGGAGAGGGTGAGACGGAGCAATCCGCAGGGCTCGCAAGGCGCAACAACAGAAGGGATGCCGGATGGTTAAGGCAGACTGCGCCTCGGCCGAGGGTGCCATAGGCTGGGCGTGATGGCCGTTTGGGACTGTTTTGCACCGTGCAAGTCTTATTTGTATCTTCCATAGTAGGCCGGGCTGGGGTGAAGGAGGGTGGGTGAATTACGCGTTCTTGGGACGCCAACAGCTTCGGACGACGCAGCTCGACGTCGACCGGGTGGGGAAGGATAAGCCAGTTGCGGCGGGCGAAACCCAGGCCCAGCCAATGGGAGACGATCGACAAGACCTAAGGCTTCGAGGCCGACGCAACCCATTACATACGACGTACGGCGGTTTGGCAAGAAAAGCTTGCGGCATCGACAAGACAAGAGATCAAGCAGGCAGGTGGGCGCAGCCGTCAGCGCGCACGGCGGACTCGAGTATATAGCTACACCAAGGCACCCAAAGCGGCTTGCGCCAAGGCATCCATTCTTCCCACCCTCCCCACGGCTCTTCTCTATTGCTCTTGCTGGCTTGGTGTGACGTTGGCCACATCACCTCATCATCGTGTTCGGTAATCGTAAGCATAATACGATTGGCTCCCTCTCTTTCGTCCATTCGCACCCTCCAGCATCTTCCGGCACTTCCGCTCTACCAGGCCCTCGCCATTCACAAAACATCTTTCATCCAAACACTCTCTTTTTCATTCACTCACTGCCCTCTCCTCGTCATAACTTCAATCGCTCCCTCAGCCCCGACCATCGACTATTTGCCATCTGCTGTACCCCGCTATTACACTAGCCCACTTGCACTACACCACAACCATCATCATGCCTCCATTCGCCCCACCCTCCGTGGTCCTCCAAAAGAGAGACAACATGGGTTTCAACCTCGCTCCCGCTCTCATCATTTTCCTCGTCATTCTCGGAGCCGGTGGCCTTGTATGCTGCGGCTTTGCCATTTTCCGATTCTATGGCAAAGACCCTGATTTAGAGGCCTCTCTTTACAATCGCTCGCCCGAGCAAGACGCCTACATGCGCGAAGTCAGAGAGCGCAACTGGTCCAGGCTTCCCCAATTGGGAATGATGAAGGGCGTAAACTATTCACAACAACAACATGCCCATGCACCCATGAGTCCAAGGTAAGCCCTGTCCACTTTCACCCCTCACCATGTCCCGACGCTGACCCTAGTAGCGCCAGCAACACCACTTATGGATGATGCACAAACAAAGCAACTTTCTGCACATTGATGCAGTCAGATAAGATACGATGCCATCACTAGATGCCACCGTAGTAGCCATATTGGCTAAACATTCAAATACGATCAAGAATGCACGATGCTACGACCCCAAGGCGCACGGAATGTGATTATTTCGAGAAGTTTTCGGTGCATATACGCACCCTTCCAGTATGGATAAGAGGTAGTACGGACTCGATACAAGAATCTGCATCGAGTCTGCGGGTTCGCTCTGCGTTTCGCACTGTCCGAGTATCAGCTGCAGAGGCGCAAGTGCGGTGCTGCCGACCAATGTGATTAAGGTCTTCACGAGCGGTTACGATAGTGTCTAGGTCCTAGGGGGGAAAGCTTACCCGAACACAGATACGGGCGCTCAACTTCCAGCGACGGACCATGAAGTGGGGATGAGGTGGTTTATAGAAGCCGCGACTGAGTGTTGTAGGAGTTCCAGCTTCAGCCCGATTATACCAACGGGCCATGTAATCCAGGTCGGATTTTTCTTTCCTTGTGATCATGCTGCTGTTGTGATGATGTTCCCTTGTAAGTCATCAAACTATACGACGTTCCTGGCCTTGGCTACTACTAGCATGGTGAAGTGCATTACAATGACCCGCATCTCCTAAAGTCTCTTGGGTAAACACCGACAACTAGTCACGTTAGACGACATGCTGCATGGTCCACCGCATCGCAGATGCTTCCAACATGGGACTAAAATAATAAGCATTACACATGTAGAACGCAAGACCCTGCAGATTAACTACATCTTTCTCACCCCAAGTAGCCTAACACATAGATACACTAGAGATGATCGAGATATTGTAATTGTTGCGACATGCACCAAGACGTGCCTGTAGTGCAATGAGGAGTTACCGAACAACGCGTTAGAAGATGGTCGCGTATACCAGCATTTACCAAATCTCGCTTGCCAAGGAAGAAGATGATCGTCTGCTTTTGGCGAAAAAAAAAAGATAAAATCAAAAAGGAAACACCAATATCTGAACGGATCCCTCCCGTTTACTATATAACAAGAGGCAACACCAATGTGCGGAATCATTGCGTGGAGACTACGCGTTCCACCACGTCTCCGGCAGTTTTTCGCAACCGGGCCGGCCTTGGTTACACTATTCGGGTCATCTCTTTGCGCCGCCATGTCGCACTGGAAGTGGATCCTCCGTACCTGATTTGTATATATACTGGTATGTTGGTTTGAAACTTTTTTCTGCCCTATCATTTCGCCTAGTCCCACAAAAGTCTCCCGGACATGGACATGTCAATGCTTTTTTTTCTTCTCTGGAGACTTGCAGCCGGAGTTGCTCCGACGGGGGGTTATGACATAGCTGGGACCCATCTACTACGGCTTTTGCACTGTTGTCCAACCCCCAGCCTTGTTTTTTCTTTGGGTCTGGCCGCTGGGCTGGTATAGGCTGGCGGATAGTTGCTGGACGGAGAGGAATAGTACTGCATAGCTTGAGCTATCTAGAAAGGCTGCTAATGAAATCAAAAACGTTGTTGGGAGGTTGCCCAGGATCACCCCTCACGCTAACGCCTTACGGTTATGTCTTCTTTTCAACTACCGAATACCTGGGTATCCAGAGGCAGAGCTCCTTTCCGAACACTGTAAGCCCGTTTGGAAAAGCAAGAGGTTATTGTATGTTCCCCGCCAATCTTGAGTTACATCGCTGCTGTAGTACTGAGGTGGTAGGCCAGAATTATGTATATGGGCCACCAGTAACTAGTATTTCTCTGTAATAATCAGGAATGGAGTTTATTCGAAGAAGAGCCTCATCATCATTTCTAACGTCTCTGCATACAAAACTTATGCCTACCACCACTACAGTAGATGTAGTTACTATCGTGCCCAGAACAGGCATGCCTGCCGCCCCCGCTGATCGTCCCACTCTCAACCCCAGCCATGGCAACCAAAAGCACCAAGACTTCCCCGCATCTAGTCATCTGACTAGTCCTATGCACTAATTGCTGGCCACCGATAGTCTTTGACCTTCTTCATTTGTACAATCTCCGACTATCGGCTGGCACTTTTTGATCCGGATCGTCAGCGGAGTGACGTCGGCGTGGCCAAAGTACATGAGTGCTTGGAATAGTTCGGTGAGGCTCACATCAGCCATGCTACCGTGAACAGAGGTTACCACAGCCATCCGTGAGCGGGGATAGGGCCGATTCGGAATGCATTACGGCGAAAAGAGCACAGGTAACGTAACCATGGCCAGTTGGTTATGTAGTACTACATACATATGTAAGTGCTTGTAGGCCATTATACGGCTTGGAGCTCCCGCTTGCTCTTCGTTGCACCTTCGCTCTACATTCCCTTTCCTTAATACTGCAGGTCCATCTTGCTACCTGACTGCAACATGCGCAACAAAGTGCTACTCGGTGTGCTTTCCAGCGTGCCTCTGCTAGTCTCAGCACAATGCCCAGAATACAGCGACTACGCGAAAGTGGTACATGAGCCGCTAAGCTCAGGCAAGTACCGTCTTGCCTACCAACGGCCGTCAGAAGAGTGCCGCACCTTCAAATCCCAAGGCCTTGAAGACCTCATCACCCGCATGAAGGACGTCATCAAGGATCCGGATCTATACCGCCTTTTCCAGAATGCATATCCCAATACGCTCGACACGGCCATCAAATGGAAGGGATATGCTGCTGATAATGCAGAAGAAGAATTGACTTTTGTCATTACTGGAGACATCAATGCAATGTGGTTACGCGACTCATCGAATCAGATGCAGAGCTACCTGCCACTGCTGAACGCGAGTAGCGATGCCAATTCCATTGCAAGTCTATACCGCGGTGTCATCAACTTGCAGGCGCGGTACCTGCTCACATCTCCATATTGCAACTCATTTCAGGCACCCACCGAAAGCGGTATCCCTCCAGCCACCAACGACTACGCGAATACAGATCAGGTCCACCCTACATACTCTAACCAGAGTGTATTCGAATGCAAGTATGAGCTGGACTCGCTCGCGGCGTTCTTGCAGATATCCGCCGATTACTACCAGGCAACAGGAGACGTTGAATTCTTTGGGAAATTCAAGTGGGCACAGGCTGTTGAAGCCGTTCTCAACGTAGCAGATGATATGACGCTCCCTACATATGGTGCGGACGGAGCTGTTTTGGATAGCCCATATACATTTGAGCGCTCAAACGTACTAGCTACCGAGACGTTTTCCAACTATGGAATCGGAAATCCAGTCGCCAATGGTACAGGCTTGATTCGAAGTGGATTCAGGCCTAGTGACGATTCTACCATCTACCAACTCTTTATTCCTGCCAACATGATGTTTAGCTCATTCCTGGCGCCGACTGCTGAGATTATGGGAAAGTTGAATGGCACCAACACCAAAGCGCTTGCGCAGAGAATGTCTGCACTCTCAGAGTCACTGCGCAATAGCATTGAAAAGCATGCGACAGTTGATCATCCGACTTTCGGCAAAATCTACGCGTTTGAGGTTGACGGGTATGGCGGACGCACCATCATGGACGACGCCAACATTCCGGGCCTTCTCTCTGCGCCCTTTTACAAGTACCCGGTCAATAACGAGACGTATGCCAACACGCGCAACTTGGTTCTCAGCGCAACAAACCCCTATTACATGAGGGGGCCTGTTATCAACGCAATTGGCGGACCACATGTAGGATTGGGTAAGGCGTGGCCTATGGCATCCATTGTACGAATCCTAACGAGTAATGACGATGCTGAGATTGTGAACGAGTTGAGGCAAATCGTTAGCAGCACTGACGGGTTGGGCCTCATTCATGAAAGCGTAAACTCGTTCAACGCGAGTGATTGGTCAAGGCAATGGTTCTCGTGGGCGAACGGGCTTTATGGGCAGATGCTTTTGGATCTTGAAGATCGCAAGCCGGCATTGCTGGAGACGAGTTTCCAGTAAAACTCGGGAGGCTAGTCCTGTCACGGACGGACGATTATCGGAAATGCAGTCATCCTATGCCCGTCAATGCACCAGGGCTTGAAACCATATGCTACAAATGTCATATAGATTGCTAGGCAACGCCCGCTGTGACACGTCGTCATTGCTTTTTGTCCTTTTGCTCGACAAGTGACCCTGCATGCAACTGACATGTGTTCAAGGGACGAACGATGTGAGGTGGAACACATGCCTGCAGCGTACCAAACCCGTCCATGTGCAAAAAAAACAACAACAACAAAAAAACACAGACAGGCTGTGCATGACACGCGCGCACCCGCTCCCGGACGTAGGCGTTTGCATTTGCAGCATAGCAGAATCAAACAAAACAGGGTTGATGGATGCCGGCACCAAGGGTTCTCGTGGCCGTCATGGCAACGTAACAGGCTCCGCTTCCAAGGTATGCAACGCAATGCAATGCAAAGGGAGGCCTCGGCCTGGTGATACTAACGACTGGCCATGCCCAGCTCAGCAGTGAGACCTGTGCCGCAACCAGCGCTACACTATCGACTGTCAGGCGTTTGTGACGGCCACATGCTTTGGCTACATGTCTAGGCTGGCCTTGGGGTTGGGGCGAGGCTCGCCGTTGGTGGGAACGGGGTCGCATGAGGAGCCGGCTCCGTGATGCCAATGGTGGTCGTGGTCATGGTCATGGTCATGGTCATGGTCGTGGTGGAGAGAAGCAAGCAAACAGCCCCCACGAGATAATCCATGCCGTGTCCTCAGCAACGACCAGGACCGGAAACCCGGCGACCATGCTGTTGCAACGCCTCGTGGACGCTCGACCTGCTGTGAGTGGGTCGCTTGGTCGGTAGGAGACGATCGTGCCAGGGGCCTGCGAGTTAAGCGTCACTGTGTGGCGGCCCCCAGCGTAACCGCGCGCTCCCTTGAATCGTGTCTGGGATGCCGTTGGCCAGCGACGACAGGGGAGCCTTGAATCAAGCAAGATGCGATCTACCGTACCTTTTCAGCTCCTCCCGCGGACAACATGCCCATGGCTTGACTTCCTGAACCCTATGCGCACCCTTTCTCGTTCTCTTGCACTCGCACACGAACCAGGCCCGTCCGCTGCTGCGCGACCCAAACTATCCGTCGTGGTGCCAATTCCAAGGTAAATACTAGCGGCATCGATGGCCTCATGTGCCCCCGAGGGCAACACTCTGCCGTCATGGAGTTTGCACGGCTGAGGAAATGAAGGAGCTGAAGTCTCCTCTCTGGTGGACGGCCCCGCCAGCCAACGGGAGCGCATCATCGCATAAGCCCGATAATGCACCTCAGAATCTGGCGTGTTTTGAATCAGGCATCTAAATCCATCTGCTCAAAAGCCCTCGTCTGCTTGTCATTGCCCTTTTTCTTCTTCCTGGCATAGCGAGAAGGCGCCAGTGGCTGGCTGTCATTCGCGTGGTGGCTCCCCCCCGAACAGAACAACCTACATCTCCGACCTACGATCCGCCGCCTGCTCTCTTTCCTTTTCATACCCTCTTTTACTCAGTATACACAGGCCCCTCGGCCCGTTTCGCATAGAGTGTTTCACTTAGCCGACATTTCAGCGATTTGGACGTCGATGCTAAGCGCTCAGCCTGCATCCTCCCCTCACCACCTATATACCAACATCATCCACAGGCGCCAAACCCACCAATCTTGGCCCTCCCCAACTGAGCCTCAGTCTCCACAATCCAACACTGTGCTGCCGGTCGGCAACAGCCTGCATAAAACATCGAGGCTTTTTTGTTTGCTGCGGAAATTTCCCAGGCCGGCTCTCCATTCCCCAGGCAGCGTGTGCCTCCCCCGGTCAGCCTCGCCGTAATCCGACATACGCCCTCGAGGACTCGGTTTCAGCATTCTTCTAAACGCTTGACTTGCGCCCACCAATCACTGAATTGTTTTGCCCCGTTTCCTGGACATTCCTCTGACGCGGCCATACACAAGGACCAGGCTCAAACAATCCAACACATACTTCTGCATGGACTTCTATATTTGACACTCTTGGTCCCATGCAACTCCTCAGACTGAGCCAGGGCTTAGACGCATACGCGCTTCAAAGTTGACAGGCCTTGCCGTTATCAGCCTAGATTCTTCCGCTATCGTGGCCATGGACAACACCACGCTCCACACTTTTCTCTTGTATGTCTACCCCCTCTGTGCCTCCTACTTCAGTGCCCGTCGCTCACCCTCGTATCAAGCCACTGCCCTGCCGCACTACGCAGTGTAGTATTACTTGGATCCTGGGATAACTTTACCCGGTCATATCCACTGGAACTCGACTCACGCGGGGGCCGTAATATATGGAAAGGTTGCTTTACTTTTTCTGACATTATCTGCGACGGAGACCTGACCCAGCAATCACCAAAACGGGACGGACCACTTAAGATGGGTGGCACATATTGGTACTATGTAGGTTATCTGCCCTGCTAAGAGGCTTCGGAAACTGACAGTAATATAGTACAAAGTTGATGGTGATGAGGAACTCCACAACCCTGCTGAAGAGTCTACGACATTTTGCCCTCTTCTGCCAGGTCAACGCCTCAACGTTCTGGATGTACCTCGTGAGGGACACAGTCGCAGCGCCTCCGATACGACTTCCGCTTTTACACGCAATCCCAACGATAGATATCTTACGCCAGTTCCACCTACGCCTCCAAGGTCGCATCCTTCTGCACGGCCAACGGGGACTCCAGAGGCATCTACGCTTCCTTTGCCTTCGCCCTGGACCCCGCGGTCTGCTACACATGCACCCATGGATTGTTTCTTGTCGCCGCACAATGTGCGCCATGCACGAAGTGCATCGGCATCGCCCTACTTGCCTTCTACTCCCATCTTCGCAGACTTCAAGGCCCTCAAAGACAAGCTAGCCTCGAAACGAGCCAACTCGAGAAATCGATATGGATCGAAACCCAGAGAGTTGGACATTAGCTCGCCTGTGCTTGTCAGTGGTGGAGAAGATCTCAATCTCATCCCTTTATCAATGTATCGTCCATCAGTTGAATCAATACGAGAAGCACAACCAGAAACTACGCCGCAACGATCTTTACCTTCATTGAGAAAGAAGTTCTCCCCATTAGCATCACATCCTGTGGACCCTGATCTAGACTCGGCTTTTGGACCTGCCGAGCTATCGGCCATCGAGGAGCGCCCTACGCGCAGACGATCGCATGTGCCCTCATCAATCATCACCAGTGAATTCCAGGTCGAGCAGTCTAGACTTCGTGCCAATTCAGCAGATACACGGCGAACACGGCACTATCTCTTCTCCAACGATCCATGGCTCACCTCACCCAAGTTGATGCAAAACCCTCAAGAGAAGGATACCGTGGTGGAGGATGACACCCCATCCGCCCCTATCTTATCGCGCCCCTCAAGCTACCTTGGAGCCCCAACGCCAGACGAGCGCCCTACATCTAGCCATGGCGAGCGCCCCAACCCAACATTCCGGAAGTCGCTCCTCGACAAGGAGCTTCCCGCACTTCCCCGTTACCTAATACCCGCACCCCTATACGCCTGCAACCGCTCTCCAACCACGAACTCGGAAGCCGAACAGTCAGAAGACGAGTTTGAAGAAGCGGATGACGAAGAGCGCCTGGATAGCTTGAATTTGGATTTGGATTTGCAGTTTCAACAAAAAGCCCGCAGCCACTTCTCTACCTGGAGCAACGATTCCATCGGCTACACCTCCCCCATCTCAGACGACGATGAAATCGTCCTCTCCCCAACCTTCAGCTCCCTCACCAGCAACGACAGCGATGGCGAGATGCCCCAGGGTCTCTTAATCCGCTACTCATACGCGGACCCCACCCCTTCCTCTCCAACCCACCTCTCGCACCTCCTCTCCCAAATCCAGCTCCAAACCACCACAACCACCCCATCCTCCCCCTCTTCCTCTTCCTCCTCCTCCTCCTCCAACAACAACAACGACGAAGACGAAGAAGAAGACTACGACCAAGACGACACCACCTCCACCCACCGCATCTCCACCCCACCCCGCCTCTCCGAACTCCGCATCTCAACTTTCGGCTCCGACCTCTTCTCCTCGCCCCCCTCCTCGCCCCACATCCTCTCCACAACCTCCTCGCGCCGCTCCTCGCGCCGCCAAGCCGCTTGCTTCGGCCTCGGCTTCCAGTACAGTCTGCCCGCCGACGAGACAACGAGCAAGAGTACGCTGGCAGAGAGCGAAGTAAGAGGTGTAGAGAGAATCATGCATCAGCGCAATATCAGTGTGCATAGGGAGAGCGCGGTTAGTCGCCTTGATGCCCTGATGGAGGACTTTGGCTTCCTCGGTGATGCCGTTATCTGAAAGTCCCAGATCCCACACACACACCTTCTTGCTTCTATTCCTGTGCGCTCTGCCTTACTATGCGATTATGCGCGCGCGGGTTCGACACTCATATATATATATACCTTGATATCATGACATTACCTATCTCGAGATCTTGACGGCCGATTACAAATCTTAGAAATTCCTGAGCTTTTTTTCACGCGTAGCCACCGCTTCTGCTTGTTTTTTTTTGATACCTTGCTGTTTTTTCTTCTTCTTTCCCGGGGCGGTTGGGGGGGGGGACTGTCCACGCTTATCGACCCTCCCCCAATCTTTCTTTTTCGGGCTGTCTATAGCTTCTTTTATTATATATATATATATACCATTGACGACTTTTATTGTTGTTTATTGTAACAGCGGGATTAAGCGAGTAGTTGGGTGCAATATAACTTTGGATATCTTGATGTATCTTCTTCTTCTTCTTCTTCTTCTTCTTCTTCTTCTGTGTGGTGAACATGTGTGGGTGCTGTTGTCATGTATTGTACCTAAAGCAGTAGAGCGGTGGGTGCAGAAACATTTGCATGCAAGCTTGTTTGCTTTGCAGATAATGCATGGCCAAAAACCACCATGAGAATAAGTAGATGGCCACTTTGTGGAAATGAAGTGTTACATGCGTTCCTTGTCTTGGTCGGCAACCTTTTTCCTTGTCGAACATTGAACACACGACATGTTCATTTCACATAGCAGGACGACTATATGCTGTGCAACTACGCAATGATACATCGGCTTCCACCTAGGCGGGCACGTCATAATCTTGTCCTTCAACACAAATTCATGTCATTTCCAGCTTCAAGTCTATCTGGACCCCTCTACATCTAGCTTCCCAGGAAGAGCCCTGGGAAGCTACCCTCCTCAGCATAATTGTCCACTCCTTACTGCTGGCAATATATTCCGTTTGCGACTTCAACACAGATATGACATTGTTTATGAAATGGTGTAGTTTTCGGCAACAGACTTTACGTCTTTGGAGAAGCTGATCTCTTGACCCATGGAGAGCAGGGTTACAGACGAGACCTGTAGTCTTGGTTAGCATACTCCTTCTACTGTGCCTATTTTTTTTGAAAGCAAGCATGATGACCATAACAAAGACTTACATCTACATCCACAAAAGGTGTGCTCTTGCTGAAGCGAATGCTCATGGGGAAGAATTCAGAGTCACTGCCGGCTTGAGCCTCAAACTCAAAGCTGCCGGAGCTGTTCGCTTCATCAACAGCACCAATGTTCCACTCAATGCTGTCGCCGCTGACTTCATAGACAGCGTCAAAAGATGACACGTTGGGCTCGTCCGTCTGGTAAGGAATAGTGACGGTGACGTCCTTGAGCGAGTCGCCACCAGTAAGCTCATACTCGACTGTGATGTTGTACATGTTACCAGAGTCCTCAACCCAGACGCGGAATGTGATGGGTGGGTCCGAGATATCGTCTGGTCGTGGTGCCAGCTTCCACTTCATGACGCCAATACCCATGTTCGATGGGAAGCCCTTGCTTGTGTCGGCAAGCTGGATGACCTTGTCGTTCCTGAAAACTGTCTTGTCAACTTTTGGATGTGTCATAAGTTGAGCGCCGCGAGTGTCTCCTGTAGCCAGGTCAAGCTTGACCTGAGTGAAAGAAGCATCAGTGATCTTGAGTTGCATCTCGCCCTTGACTTCAAACGACTTAAGAAGACCTTCGCGGTCGAGTCTCGCCGAGATGGTCTCGTTGGTGGTAATATGAACAGGTTCGCGGTCGGTCGAGGTCGATTGGCGTGCGCTCGCTGGGGCTGCTACAGCGGATGCACTTGGCTTAGGTGCAACAAGCGGCTCCTCTTCAGCTGGCGCGACCTCACCAGTCACTTGCTCGTACATGTTGCTGGTCTTGTTCTTCTTGCCGAGCTGCATACCCTTCTTGCCGAGAGCCAATGGCTTGCTCGACGCCTTCTTCTTCTCGGCTTCATACGAGTCGTAGGTGTCGGCAACGTTGGTCGTGGGCACGCTGGGTGTGAAGGTAGGATACGATGGCGATCGACCTCCCATTCCACCTCCGATGCCACTTCCCATACCTCCTCCCATGCCTCCGCCTGCTCGCTGTGATCTCGACATCTCCTTGCGCTGCATCTCGAGCTGCTTGGCCCGGCGCTTGCGCTCTTCTGAAGCCTCAAGCTCCTTGTTCCGTGCGATGATCTCTTGAATACGCTCCTCGTGTGACTCCATGTCCAAGAAAGTCTTGATCTGGCTTATGGTCAAGTTCTCCCTGTATCCCAGTGTGACAATCTCATCAAAGGCCGTCAGAAGCTCGAAAGCGTTCTTGAGAATCTCGCGCTCGTCGAGAGACTTGCATATCGAGGAGCAGACCTGAGCGAAGAGGTGCAGAGTGTTGATGTCTTGGAGGATGTTGGATTGTAGGTTGGTGATCAAGACCATGTAAAGTTCGTCGAGGGGCTGGTAGACGTAGCGCACGTTGTCCTGTTCGCAGGTGGTATGCTGGGTTCCACTGTCGGCGAGCTTGGGGAAAGAAGCGAGGAGAGCCTCAATGCGGGAGCGCTGCATTTCCCGGAATTGGCGCGAGAGGACTGCCTTGCCGCCTCTTGTGCATATTGAAGCCGCGAGGACCACCTGGCTTCGTCAGCTTGGTGCGGGTGGACAAAGGGTCGACTGTTATGTGTCGTGTACAATTGCATACCATTGTGGTTAGTGTCTACCTGGTGATATTGGGAAGAAGGTGGGAGAGGCTGAAAAGCAGTGGTGACTTGGGTGGTAAGGTTGTGGACGTGTAGCCGCGTTGCTGGAGATGGTGGGGAATATTATTGAGACGGACAGTTGTTCAAGACAGCAAGCGTATCTTGAAGGCAGGTTCCAGGAACAAAGTGTAGCAGAGCCAACCAAAGATGCTAGCAAGACCGGGCAGGTTGTCTCTGGGTATTACGAAGGCGAGTTGACAGGCACCGCCTCTAAGGTGCAGCTGCACCCAGTCGCAACACCTGGAGGTTCCAAGTGGACACCTGGAGTCACGTGCACGCGCATTTGCCTAGCGCCGGCTGCCATTGTTAAGTAGCCTCTCCGGCCCATGCCCTCTAATAGTCATCACCAGCAACTCTTCAACTGCGAATCCCGCATCTAGGCAGCCTCTCTTGTGCGCTCAGATTTGCAGCCCTAAACCGATACGACAGAAACACTGGCCGCTCCGGCTTTTCCGATAGGTTTACACCAAGTGCACGTAGTGTACACGTTCTGCTGCCACTTGCCCGCTCCCACCATTCTTCTTTCCCGTACTAGCGCCAACACCGCTGTGCGCACTTTGTCTCATTTACACTGTCCTCATCACCCTCACCCTCACTCAGTCCACATCTTCACGACTGCAAAACTATCAGAGACCGCCTCACCATGCGATTCTAGCTTTTATCTGCCACAGTGCACCCACCATCAAGTTTGCGTCCCTTTATTGCGCTTTGTTGCATCGCCACCTTGTGACTTGCACCAAGCTCTGACGCGCTCCCCACGCTCCTTTATCTACGCGTTTCGACCGATATACATACCTAGACCCACAAACCCCTTTGTCGCCATCCCACAGCTATCATGGCTACTACTACGCATCCTACGCCTAGTTTCGACATCACTGCAGCCGATGACATGGACTTGCACTCGGACGATGGCATTCTCGGCTACAACGATGGTGACATCGAATTGGATTTAGAGCCTCCGCCTGCATATGGCCCGGATGATGATGTCTCTATCGGCGATGCTGCCTCGGCCAATGGAATGGATGCCCAGATTGCTCCCGGCGGTGACAATGATGATTACATGGTCGACCAGGAGGATGTCATTGAAGAGGACTATAGTTACCAAGATCAAGACGTCGATGTGGATGTGGATGTGGATGTTGACGTCGACGTCGACGTCGACACCGTTGCCGAACAGCCCGCTGCAGCCGACCCCGCCGCAACTCAGGTGGAAGCTGAAGTCCAAGATGAAGACCTACTTGACTATTCTGAAGAGGACGATGATTATCACGACACAGCGCTTCGTTCACCCTGGTTACAGCAACATGATTCTATGCAAGATGAACCGGGTCCGGTCCAGGATGCACCTGCTCAGCAAGACGAACCTCTTGAGATGCAGAATGTGCCTGCTCAGCAGAATGAACCCTCTGAGACCCATGATGCGCCCGCTCAGCAAAACGAACCCCCACAGGCGCAGGATGCACCAGTCCACCAGGACGAAATACCTGCTGATTTACAAGCTCTAATGTCCACGAACACAAGCAAAAACTCACAGAGCCCACATGCGCACTCTGACGTCGTTGCTGACGGAAGCACGAAAGGCGATAACAATGAGATCTCAACCTGTGCTCAGTCAGCTGATCCCAATGAAGAAGATGCTCAGACTGATGGTGACGATGGCGGCATTACGCTCAAAGACCAAGAGGAGCATGCAAGTGCCGAAAGTGGCCACAATCACATGCAGCCTCCTCGCCATGATCATGATGAATCTGCTCAAGTCAATGAACATGGGGAAGATGCTTCTTTTCAGCAGCTACCACCTGTCACTGTGAATTGCATGGGCGAAGAGCTATGGCTTTTCAAGCAGCATGACTATGAGAATAGTGGTGACTGGCTCCTTGCTGACGTATCAGTGGCCAAAACGAGCATGTCGGATCTTTTCCAAGCATGTCGTTCAGCATTGGGCCACGAGGTGCTGAATGGAATGGAGATTGGCTTCCGCTTTGATCACTTTCAAAACATGGAGCTGTTTGAAGAGAACACGGCTTGCGTAGCCATCTCCCTCGAACGCCTCGTGGGCTATTACCATGCGCTCCATGAACAGGATGGTAACAACGATCCAGACTCGTTTTACGTGACTTTGATGTATCGCCCACGCTTCGCTACCTTGCTCGCAGACATAGCAAGATATGCTGACAACGGACGTGGCTACTCTGGGCTCGAAGCTGCTATCGCTGCAGGCGAGACTAACTTTCATAGTGCACCTCTTGATCCTCCAGCCGAGGAAAACACCGAATGGGATACTGAGGGGCAAGAACAGGAGCAGGTCCAGGATCAGGAGCTGCAACATGGGGATGATGAGGAAGACAGCCACGAGAGAGATGCGAGTGAGCAATCAGAAGAGAAAGGTTCGAACGGACAAACGTATGAGGAAGATTTGAATGACGCTAGGCCCGCAGAAGATGCAAACGAGCAAAGCAATATTGAAAACCAGGCTCCGCAAGACGTCAATGTCCAAGTGCATGCAGGAGACCAACCTGAGCTAGAGGATCAAGACAATCAAGATGAACAGACTTACGCAGCAGCTGAGCCTCAGCAAGATCCTGGCCAGGAGTATGGTCATGAAGAGGATGGCACGCAAGACTCTGTCGAGGAAGGGGGTGTTGAGGTTGGCGAAAGCGTAGAGGCTGCGACTGAAAACGTGTCTACCGGAGGCCATGAAGAGGATGTCGATGTGGATCACGCACCACAGCCTCCTAGTTCTAGTGAAATCTCTACAAACCCACAAAGGGTTGAAGGCTACCCTGAACAGACACGCTCACAGTCTCATGAGCAGACTGCAGCGGAACTGGAGGCCCGTCGCTTGCAAGAGGAAGGCGACATTATTGATTACAGTGATGGAGAGGACGAGGAGTCCGCTGCTGTCGAGGGGGTTGAAGAAGCACCTCATACTGAGCCATCGCCCTCGCCCGCCACTGTGCAAGGCGACGAAACATCCAACGCGGAGAGGCCGTCACCTGCTGCAGGATCGCCAAGTATTGGCAAGCAAACAAACGCAGACGAGGACCAAGGCAGCTTCGACGCCACAGAAGACCCTAACGTCGACGCCGAGCAGGACTTTGACAGTGATCCCAATGAATACTGGGAATACGATGAAGCCCTTGAAGCCCTTGAAGATGTCGACCCTGATGAGTCGCAATCGGATGAAGTCCAAAACGACAGCACCAACTTTGAGTTTGATGGCGATGCTAACCAAGACTATGGCGGCTATGAATACCAGGACTTGGTGCAACAAACAGAGGCGGAATTCACAAATGGAGAAGATTTTAATGGTGGTGAAAACACTGCAACGGATGGCGATTACTCGACGAGCGCGAATGATGTCTTGGATGTGGACAATGCGCAGTGGACTGTCGACCAGAACCTAGGCCAAGACGTTGCGGAGACGACGACGGGACATGAAGACGACAATGTCGAGGCTCAAGACGAAGAGGACGGCGTGGCTGGACAGCTCGGCAGTGCAACGTCTTCGGCTGCAGATCCTACGACGGCCTCGTCTACTGATGCCCATGATGTGTCTTCACAAGGACGCAAGCGATCTATCGACGAGGCTGGACATGGAGTGGACATTGCATCCGACTCTATAGGTACGGCGATGGCCTGGTTACCCTTGAAGCGAAACGCAAACGCTGACTTCGTATATGTAGACGCCAAACGCGCGCGAGTGTGAAGGCGCCCCGTCCTCTGAGTCTTCGGGTCTTCAGACATACTAACAAGCAGTTACATGGACACGCCATCCTGGAATCTACCCAAGTTTGAACTAATACAAGTGTATACTAACTGTAGGACCGATATTGCAACGCACGACGAGATTTTGATTTATTTTTTTCTGGCTTTGGCGAGGGGCAAAAGGTAAGAGGGAAGGTAATCTCTGGCGATTTTCCTTTGTTATACCCCGGCACCACCTTCCCGGATTGTGACTTTTGCACTGGTTTTGGTTGGCTGGCGATTGGTTTGTAGTGCGAACAACGACTGACGTGACGTTGTTTGCATGGTCGTTTTGTTCTTGATGGGGTGGAGGGGAATAGAGGGCGCGAGGCAGTTTGAGCGATATACCCAAGTGCTTCGAGGCACTTTTTGCTTTTTTTCTCCAACGTAGCCATAAGGCCGTAGAGACATGTTGAGATTCTCAATAAAAGACTGCAAGGCTAATGTGGGGTTTTTACTATTTGCAGCTCTTTGTGACGATTGCTCAGCGTGGCCTAGGAAATTAGGCTCCGGTTGCAGGCGATGATGACACGAATGGTCTAGGCTCTCCATAATTTTGTGACCAGGTTGTGGGGAAGAGGGTTACGAGGCCTGCTATTTTGGGGCGACTAAAGACGGCATGACGAGGCGCAGTTTTTTTTTAAACATTATCGACAGCCTCAGCGGGCCACGTGGTGGAGAGATGTAGATAGTTACGAGGGTGCACGACAAGAGGAGAGGGTGCACATTGACACGAGGCCAAGGGCTCTGGCATGTAATTGAGAGGCGGATGAATGGTTGGGCGTCTTGTTGGTAAGTAGTAGAGACAGAGGCCGCGTCGACTGCGTGACAAAGGGATCGGCAAGCTATGACCTTTGCGTTGAGTGAATCGGCCGTGAAACGTTGGGGCGGGCTGACTGGCGCGCCGGGGGAGTCGTAGAGGGTGGCACGCCACCTGGGAACGAGCAAGGCAAGGCAAGGCCCGACAGGTGTTTCTCCTTGTTGGCGCAGACTGTCCATGTCCATCCGACGGACCAATACTACTACATATGGCTACATTCGCATACGCCCACGCTTTCTTGCCTTGACACGACGCTCGCTTGTTTCTTTTTCTGGCCTGACGCTGCTCCTTATGTACTACTACCATTACTACCATTCTCTCCATTTGTACCACTACTAGCCACTCACTCCCATTACCGCCAACGACTGTGACGACCTG